TCAAACAAATGAACAACAAAACCCACAAATCATCATATCCTTGTGATTCTATGTACCCGAAACACAATCCCCAACCTAATCTACTGCTTCAACAGAGCGAGAAGAGATACGATCAAAGACACCCCAACGGCGACACCAGAAACCGCCAGAGAGGATCCAGCACCGGGGAGAGGACCAGGAGCCGCAACAGGAGACTCGCTGATCTGAGCTAAGACGGCAATGAAAAGCGCCATCACCAAAGCCGCAACTAAAGCCCTCACGAAGCTGATCTGTGCCATTTCTGGAAGCTAAACGGACGAATGGAAGATGGACCAACAATGGCCGAGAGGATTTCTTCTTTGCTCTGAGAAAGGAGAGGAGATGTTGTGAGGAAAGAAAGATGCTAGATCCCTCAGCCGATCTGGGTAGGAAAGAAAGAAAGAGAAAGAAAGAAGGGGACAAAGAGGGATTGAGAGTTGAGGGTAATAATGTAATTTTATATTTAAATTAAAATATAAATATTTATTTATGTAACATTTTTATTTATCTATATAACATAATTATAATATATATAATTGTCATGTCATCAAAAAAATTAAAAGAAAATATCAAATGGAATTATTTAATTTACACGTCATGTTTAACTAACGAAAGAATCAAAATTGTGTAATTTTTAGAGTTAAAAAATCAAAAAAGTGAAAAGAATAATCTAAGGATAAAAAAAATGTAAACTTATAAAGTTGAGGGATCAAATTTAGCATTTAACCTTTTCTTTTTCTTTTTCCCACACATGGAGGGTATCATTAAGTCCACATTAGCTGTTCCCGTTAAGTTAACGTGCCACATGAGCAAAAATTAACGGAAAGACCAAAAAGGGGCCGGATTTGTGAACAGTAAGGACCAAAAAAGGGATTTTTCGGTACAAGGACCAAAAAGTGGCTTTTTCCTATAGTAGAGGGACCAAAAAGGGTATTTAACCTAGTGAAATCAATACACATCCTCCACTTGCTGTTTGGTTTTTTAATGAGCACAGGGTTGGACACCCACTGAGAGTATTCAACTCTCCTGATGAAGCCTGCCTGTAATAGCTTTTGTATCTCTTCATCTATAGCAGCCTGCTTCTCAAGGCCAAAAAGACAACGTTTCTGAACCACCGGCCTCTTGGTGGGGTCCGTGCTGAGCTTGTGGACTGTGAACTCTGCTGGAATGCCAGGCATTTCTTCCATAATCCATGCAAACACATCTTGATTAAACCTTAGAAACTTCAAAAGCTTTGGTCTCTCTTCTTCTATGAGCTTAATGCTGATCTTAACTGTTCTTTTCGGCAACTTAGGGTTTAAAGGGATCGTTTCCACTGGCTCCACTGGCTCAACCTTCTGCTCGACACCCTCAGGTTGGTGCTCGATATCTGATATGCTCATTATCTGTTGACCAGGCTGAGTCAGCCTATGACTTCCAAAGGAGCCTCTCGGGGCTGCAACGAGCTCAACCTTCTTGAATGTATCTTGATAGCAGGCCCTGGCCATCTTCTGGTTCCCCTTAAGCACTCTTACCCCCTGAGGAGTTGGGAACTTCATGTAGAGATGAGGTTGCAATATGACGGCCTTCAACTCGCAGAGGGTGGCCCTTCCTAGTATGGCATTGAAAGCTGATTCCATTTTGACGACTAGGAAGCTGATGGAAGCCATCCTGAAGTGCGGTTCTAAGCCCACATAGATGGGAAGAGTAATTACTCCTTCAACTGGGACGGGTTGATTATCAAATCCATAGATGGGCCCTTCATACTTCTGTATCGAGCTCGGATTTAGCTGCATCTTCTAAAAGCAGCTCCAATAAAGGATATCTGGTGAACTACCAGTATTAATAAAGACCTTGTTGATGTTATGATTACCTATATGGACCGTTGCCACAAAAGGATCTACATGAGGCATCATAACGTCGGGCTCTCCTTCTGCTCGTTTATAATCCGCCGAGTTGAATGTAATGGGTGCATTCTCCCACTCCGCCTCCTCAAATGGCCACTTCAAGGGCCTGTTCTTGTTAACGGTCATCACCTGCCAGGCATATGCCTTCTGGCCCCGAGCGCTTTAGCCCTGTAAGTGCATACCACCCAAGATCATATTTATTGTGCCCGATGGCGGGGGTATCCCGGCATAGCCTACCCCTTTCCTGTCTTTTTGGTTCTGGGTGGCAATCCTCTGTCCTTGGCCTCGCCTATTAAACTGATGGCCCATGTTCAACTTGCCTTACTCAGAAGGATATTGGTTTTCCTGATACATATCATGTATGCTACCGAGCGGATACCTTTACCCTTGAGGTCGGTCATACCCCTACACAAAGTGAGTTTGAGTTGGTTGCTGGGTATAAGGCTTCTGGACATATCCTTCTAATTTCCCATTGCGAGCTAAGAACTCCAACTCGTCCTTTAGGTGTTGGCAGTCTTCTGTATTGTGACCGTATGCACGATGGGTAGTCACAATGCTTGCTTTTGTCTACTCTTGGGGAACCATGCAGTGGGGGTGGAGGTCTTCTAATCTAGTTCTGGATTTGTGCCAAGATTTGAGACCTTGGCAAAGTTAAAGGAATGTAATTGGCATACTTTGGGAAGTCAGCTGGCTTCCCCCGCTGTTCGTTGACTTTTTGCTTCTTCTTTTCCTCTCTCCTTGGTGGTTGTTCGTGGTTCTTGCTTTGTCTATCATCAGCTCATCGCTTGGACGACTGGAAGTCTTCTAACAGTATGAAGCTAGTCGACTTGTCATTTACTTCATTCCACGTCTTTGGTGGGTTTTCTAGCAAGTCGTCTAGGAATCAACCACGCTTCAAACCATATAGCAAGGCAGACAAGCAGATGGTATCGGGGACGTTGTCAATGTCTAAAGTAGCCTTGTTGAATAGTTGCATGTAGTCCCTCAGAGATTCCTCTTCCTTCTGATGAACCTGCATCAGGTCGGTCGCTGTTCGTTTAATCTCTCTTTGGCTCACAAATTTATTAGAGAATAGCTTGGCGAGCTAGGAGTATGAGTCTATAGAGTGTCTGGGGAGTTTATGATACCATCTTTTGGCTGTTGACTTCAGTGTCGTTGGAAACACTATGCACATCATGGTGTCATTAGCATTTTGGATTCACATGATGGCCTGATAGGTATGCAGATGTTCATCTAGGTCGCCCTAGCCATCATATGTCTCCAAGTGGGGGATTTTGAATCCCTCTTGATACGGTTCTACTGTGATGGATAGATTTAGTGGGGCACTATCCAAGTCAAGGGTCTGTTGGTGTGACCTGGGGCTTTTCAGCTCGTCAATGGATTTCTGTACGTCCTGCAGCTGCCTTTCCGGATCTGCATTCTTTCTCATCAGTTCTTCATTATGTTTGGACGAGCTAGGCTCGTTATTTAACTTCCCATTTCCCCTTGGTTTGGTCAGCATTATTATGTTGCTCAGAGCGAGTGAGTTACGAGTTGCAACTACTGCAGTTGGTTGTGCATCCCTATTCAGCAAAGGAATTAGGGGGTCATCTGGGATCAAACGGGCAAGGATTTTACCCATTGCCATTTCGAGAACTCTAGTTCTCTCTTCGAGCTCGGTTGTTCGAGCAGGTTCTGTTGACCTTTCAGGTCGTTCTTGTTGTGAATTGCCTAATCTGGGATGTCTTTGCCTTGTTCTTGTTGGAATTTGGAATTGTTCAGGCTGGGTTGCATACCCAATTGGTGTTCTTTCATCATCATCTGTTCCGCTAAGTTGCTCCTGTTCTACTCCTCCAACAAAAAGGTTTCTCGGCATTGGCCTAAAATCATTCAAGTTGAGCTCAAATAGTTGTGTGTCTTCCTGTTCATCCCTTTCATTTCTTGGAGGGCGACTTCCTGTAAAGGTACAAACCATTTTGTCTTTCAGCAGGTTAAGCTACACAGCTTCTTGTTCGATTCCCACAGACGGCGCCAAATGTTTGGGCAACTTCGCAATCCAACACTGTTGAAGTCCTCAGCTGCTTCTACACCTAAAAATACCGAGGATGTTTCCTCGGGGAAAACACTCCGACGCTCAAGTCAGCAATACTCGATATTCTAGAAAGAGATGCTCTCAAAGAGTAATTGCAGAGAGAGAGATGTAGAAGAGTTAATACCTTGCATGGAGGTAGTTGGGGGGTATTTATAGTCTCAAATGCTGACATGAGCTCAAACATGTATTCATCCAATTGGTTCACGTGTCACTGCCCACGTGGGTATGTCTCCTCCTCTTGGACCTGTGGGTGCATAGTTGGGCCTGTTGCATGTGGTTCGAAGTGGGTGTTGGGCCTAATCCCAATACCTATCAGATAAAGATATTTCCTAGTAAAAAAAATATATATATCTGCCCATCTACGTTCATCGGACTCAACACACAGACATGAAGAATAAATGAAAATGCAAAAAATGAAATTTGGGAACATAAAACAACTATGCAAGTAGGTCTAGGAAGATTTTCCAGAATAAACATATGACAGATAGTAAACTGTTCAACATAATGTGCTCTTCTAAACAGAAATGGGTCATCCAGCTTTTCAGTCACTAGTGAAGTGGCTGCTATTCCAATACTTCTCAATTTTGTCTGCTGTCCTCCAGCGATCACTTAAAAAAATCCCCGTTTAGTGACTAATAATTTAATTATTAAATTTTTATTTTTAGTTACAAATTAAAATTAATAATAAAATTTAAATTATTAGTAAAACTTTTATCACTAATACTTTTAGTGATGAATTTGACATGTATCACAAAAAAAAAAAATTTATAATGACAAAAAAATCTACATTATTAATTAGTTATTTGTAACAAATTTACTCATCACAAAAAATATTTTGTTACAATAATTTTCATCACAAATATTATAATTGAGTGACAGAAAAAAAAGTTACAAATGCAATTGTGACAAAAAAATTTAATCATTAATTATTAAAACTGATACTAAATCAAAAAGGATATTTATGTGATTATAACAAAAATTCTATTACAAAAAAGTTGATATATATTCAAAAAAGTGAAAATCAAGTATCAAGACATCTATCATAACCATTTGTTAAGTGGGCCCTTGACTGAGACCTACTTAACAGATGGCTGTTATGAGACGTCCTAATATCAAGATATCTTGATTTTTTGGATTCTAATATATATTTGTAAAAAATTTAATAAAAAATATTATTATTTCAACACTAATCAATTTTGATTAAAATTAATCAAATCCAATTAAAATTAATCAAATCCAAACTAAACTCAAGTTTTATTGAGCTTCACATTATATTGCTCAAATAGAGTTCAAATAAATAAAATTAAACACAAGTGTCAATCAATTGGTTTGCATTTAATCACTAGTTTTATAGTGTAAAACTTTATTTTCATATTTTTTTTACCAATATGGGATATATTTATAATGTAAAACCTTGTTTTCTTATGTGTTTTTTATCGATATGGGATATATTGATTAAAAAAAACTTAAATAAAATTGAACTTTTTCTCGAGATATAGAATGATTATAAGACACAAAAAAGAGTGTAGTAAATTGTAATTATTTACCTTTATAAATTGTTGTTTCATTTTGGAAGAAATCTAGTTCCATAAATTTTTTTATCAAAAAAATTCTAATTTTTGAAAAAAAAGTACAAAGACACTCTAATCATTGTTAACATACATACTCCCAACTTACCTAATTATAATTGATTCTCAATATATTTAATATTTATTTAATAATTGATGCTATAACAATATGATTTTCATAAGATCAAAAGGATTGGGGCTTTTAATTGAATCACCATACAATAAAAAATCAAATTAATAGTCTAATATATATTTTGAATACTCTCTAATTAAAAGTATTGAATCAATCACATAATTGAAAAGAAATCTCAAATTTTTCTTTTAGCCAATAAAATGATCTTAACTAAACAAGTGTAAGAATTTTTTCATCAATTATTGGATTAATATATCATTATGTAGACTTAAAAATTACCTTATTTTTTTATAAATTATATAGATTATGTGATAAAAAATCAAGTTATACTCTCTACTCTTTTTATATATTATGTGTTTTTATTTTAAGTTGATGAATGTACAATTAAAAGGTTTTTTGCTTTACATTTTATTTTTATTATTTCACTTCTCTACCACAATGCAGGTGGGACGCTTCTGCTTTGAATTATGCAAAGTGACAAATTCTAGACGCATGGTGTCAATGGTCAATATTAGATCAAGTGCTTAATGTTTTCCTTTATGAACACTTTGATCCTAAAATTTTTAATTTATTCTTTTATAACATTGGATTATAACTTTTATTATTGTCATATAGTCTTTCAAATTTTAAAATATTTTAACTTAAGTCCCAAAAGTTAAGTTATTTGCATTTAAATCCTCTTTTTAAAAGATTTCAATTTTCCTATTTGATACCTAACTTTTTCCCTCCCTTTTCATATTTTTGCCAAAAATATCTCAATATTTATCATGTACGTAGGTTGTTAAGCATCTTATTTGAAGTGTATTATATGTTTCAAATTTATTTAGATAACATTATAGATTTGTGATAAGTTTTAGTGATAAATTTTATTATCAAAACTTAATATTTTATCTGTGATTATTTTTTAGTGACAAAATATCTCTTTAATAACCAAGTTTTTCATTATCATTGAACATGTAAACATTTGTGACCAAAAGTTAAAATCTATCAAAATTGTGATGAGTTGTAGTGACAATTTTCATTATCACAAGTATGCATTTTTTTGTAACAATTTTTAATTACGAAATATATTTTTAGTGATAAATTATTTGATTATCATTGAACATGTAGGTATATGTGATCAATATTTGAAATTTGTCTTAATTGAGATAAGTTATAGTGATGATTTTTATTGTTACAAACTTATTTTTTATTTGTGATCATTTTTTAATAATATATTTTCAGTAATGAATTTTTTTTATCATTATTGAACATACATGAATTTATGATTAAGTTTTAAAATCTATCATAAATGTAATAATTTATAGTGTTGATTCAACATTTATCACAATTTTTTGTCACTAAAAATTTCATATCTTGTAGTGGATCCTCCCAACAATTAGAGCCCACCAGATCATCATCATTTCATGTGTATTACAACACTTCAATCCTTTAAATTACTTAAAAAGGAAAAATGAAAAAGGGTTATATGTAACCTGGCAATAAGACTTAAGACCATTGTATTAGAAATTTTGGACTTGGAGGATTTGAGAAATCCATTCGATGGACTAGACTTTCAAATAGTTAATATTTGGACGTGTTAATACCTATACCAACATTAATATCAAGTCGTTAAAAAAAATATAAAATGACTTTTAATTTATTAATTATGTGATTAGATTTATCAATATGATAATTACACTAATATTAATATTAATTTTTAATATTTTTATATATTTTTATAATAAAAAAATAAAGAAATTTATAATATAATGAGAAAAGATCCAATAATAAAAATTTCATGATTACATAGCAATAATATTTATTACAGAAGCTTTTGTACCTTTTATTTCTCTTCCATACTTTTTTATATTTGAGCAAGGGTGAGGAAATAATGATTAATTAAAAATCTTCTTATTAATAAAAATACAATCAATATTAAAATTTTGAAATCAATCAACTAATAATTTGATTTCTCATAAGTTGATCAATTTTCATAATAACATAAAATTCCTTTTCTCTATAATCAAATATTATTTTCTTTTATATTAAAATCAATCATATTATAATTTGATTTTCTTTGCTTCTCCTCAAGTTGGAGCACAGAGACACATAAAAAAAATGAACATTAACGGACACGAGTTTTGGGGATGACCTATCCACTGGCGGGACGTCTTATCTTTTCTTTTTTTAGCCCTTTTTAGTCTTTACGTCTTTTAAAGTGTTGGACATAAGTTCTTCTAAAAATTTGGTAACATAGCGTACCCAAAAACTTTTTGGAACTAAAATCATATCCCCAAAACCTTTTACGAGGCCACCTTAGAGAACGACATGGGGACGCAATAATTCATCCCCAATACCTTTGGGGACAAGTTTTAATGCCTATGGGGGCGATTTCTGTCATTCCAAAACATCACCTTGTTATTATTATTATTTTTTTTTTTGGTAGTGAAATGTTAATCAAGTATCCAACTTGCTTATTAGGACTTACAGAGAACTCGCAGTTCAAAAAAAAAAAAAAAAAAAAGGAACTTACAGAGAACTCTAGAAGAAGATGACCAAATGGTCTCTCTGGTCTCTTTTGTCCTTGTGAGAAGGTAAATAGAAGGGTGGAAAAAAAATTACAAAAACGAAACCTTACTCAACTTTCACTTGAAAAGTTAATCGGCTTGCTCTGATACCATAAATAAATTTCTAAATAAAGAAATTTTTAAATTTTTAAATTTTTAATATGATAAAAAAATCTCTAATAATAGAAATTTCATAATAATATAAACATAAAAGGATAAGAGATAGTAACAGGACATTAGTACAAAAACCTTTATGAGTTTTGCATGTTTATTTTTGTATCATACTTTTCTTATATATGATTAACTTTATCTATACTTGAAAGTCAATCAATTAATAAATTGATTTTTCATAATTTGTTTAATTTTCATAATGACTTGATATTCCTTCCATTTATAATTGGATCCTATTCTTTCTTTCTTTTATATTAGGATTAATCATATTATGATTTGATCCTCTTTAAAAAATGCTTTTAACTTGCATAAATTAATAAAAAGAACGATAATAACAACGCTTATTCGTGCTATTATATTTACGATCCCAACTTAGCTCCTGCTGATGTGTTAAAATCCTTTCTCGTTTTTGTATATTTGTTGCGATTTGTGACAACAATATTATGTCAAAATCAAATCAATATTCTTGTGAAAAATAAGGTCTTTAAATATCTTCAATATTAACAATAGCATACAAATATAAATAATACAAACTTATTTTTCTTTGCTAGCGAAATTTTTTTATGCAATGTTCATATTTTAATTAAAACGTTCCAGATGAAAAGCATTAAATGGAAAAAAAAAAAGGAAAAATGGTAGATTATAGGTGAGAAAGGGCTTTCGTAATTTGTTTTTGTGTTCTAAAGACGCAATAATTAAAACGTTTTTCATATTAATTGATATTTAAAAGTAATACAAAATTTTTATTAATTTCACCAATAATACCATGTCTATAAGCATTGCAATGTTTTAATTAGATACTTTACCAAATAAAAGTCAATTTTAATTTTTAATTAGTGCTTGACTAAAATAACCTTTTTCTAATACTATCAATTAATATTAAAAATATCTTAATTACACTCTTTACTGTACCCAGATTAAAAAGGGAAAAAAAATAATGATATCATGACAATTAAAATGTTAAGAAATTTAATTACAGTCGATAAATTTGATAAAATATTATATTTATATTATATTTCATATATTTAATAGGAAAAAGTGTATATCAATTTTCACTAACAAAATAAATTGGAGTCTTAACTTTAAATTACGTTATTTTATTTAAATAAATTTAATTCAAAATTTAAAAATTCATTGTTAAGTCTTATTATATATAATTAGTTTGGCTTAATTTAATCAATCATTTATTAACTATCACCTTTTTTTTTTTCATTTTAGTCTAGATACTTTATTTTAGTTTAATTTCATTTATTAACTTTCAAAATTATTTCGTTCTCGTCTACTTCACACAATACCGTTAACTAGCTGTTAGCCACCGTTAACCACCGTTAACCACATTGATGGAAGTTTATGTTTTAAATTGCGTGGCACCATGTAAGCTACTGTTTGATGTAAACAAATTATATAATTTTTATATATTAT